ATTATTGACGGCAATGGCTCTCCACTACTTCCTGTCCATTATAACTTTCAACAACGTTTTACTATTTACTATCTGTTCTTGGATATATATGTTTCGTAAAAACTTTAATAAAAATAAACATAAATTATTACAATAATATTATTTATTATTATACAGTTAAATTTATATAATTAAGTATATTAATTATATAAATTATAAATAATTATTATTAATATTATAATTAATATAATTATTAATAATAATTAACAATAATTATAATTAAATATAATTAATTAATATATCTGTGAAATGAACCTGAAAATATAATCTATATCTATAATTCTCAAAATATGTGTGTGTGTGTGTGTGTGTGTGTGTGTGTGTGTGTGTGTGTGTGTGTGTGTGTGTGTGTGTGTGTGTGATCGGATGTTGTTTATGCGTTATCACAGTTTAAATTCGATTTCGATTATTATTTTTTTGTTTGTTTGATAATTCTTCAGTGCTGGTTTTCAGTCCAAATTGGCTAGAAAAATTTACAACCTTGAAGGTGAAAAAAAAGAAAAACTCCCTGATTTTTTACAACCTTGGCGCAAAAAATCAAAGGTTTAGGCATTTAATGTTTGTAATCCCTGTGGCACTACTGTGCCATTTACAATTTTGTTTTGTTCGAACCTAAATATTTCTGCTGATATAATTGGTTTTACAGGTGCGTGCAAGACATCAGTGATGTGCCCCGTTATCTCAATGTTTAGGCACCATTCTGACTGCGACAACTACGAGTAAACTCGCTCATGTCCACCTGATGTCTACGCAGTAAGAGATAACCAATCATTCTACTTCAGGACGTTCAGTTTGCCCCCCTCTTAAAATGCCTAACTTACCTTATCCGGATACAGTTTAAAGGAGTTGCTTTCAATCAGAGACACTGAACATCAACGTCCTACCATCGGCTTTTCCAGTTGAGCATAACCTGAACGCTTTTGCTATCCTGAGGCTGAAAATGATGATTTGCAAATTCCATTTTGTCAATTCATACTTGCCTGAGGAAAAACGACCCTTTAAAACCGCTGCCGCCATGTCCACCATGCGAATAAGAGATCTGAAATAAGGACGTTCATTTGAGAACCTCTCAAAAATCGGCCCTTTTCAGGGTCACCTCCTGAACATTCAGATTGTTAACTGAGGAGAAACGACCCCCTGGGCGTGATTTAAGGATGTGGGTCCCTCCATTGCACCCCCATTTAAGGATGTGCCTCAGTGTTGTTGTTACTAATATTGATCGCCTCAATTTAACGGCAAAAATTCCCCGTAATGAAACACCCGGTCGAAGACGGGTTATACTGCTAGTAATAAATAATATCGGATTAAAAAATATTTTTTTTAGAAATTGTGTGTGTGTTTTCTCCATGTCCCTTCAGGGCGTAGGTGTCATAGATCCCCACTGATTCCGCTTCTTTTTTATCTATGAATTACGATGATTTTCTGGTGAAAACAAAGGAATGGCATCCTGTTATCTTCTTCATGGTTTAGAATTTAGATTTTTCTTTCTCTTAGAGTAGTTACCACACAAAGCTACAGAGTGACGTCTAACTATTTAACCTGCTATTTAATCCATAGATTGGAGAAGAAAAGATGCAAACCTTAACATGCGAGGTGCGTCACAGAATCCACAGAAACCGCTCCGCTGAAGAGGATTTACAAAACAAGCTAAAAAACCCTGTACAGAAGCCAATTAATTTGTCACATTTGCAATAAGCTTTGCAAGTCACTTGCTGACTTCAAGAGCTATTGTCGTTCTTAAGAGAGGTAAAAATATTTATCAAACATGTCAACGATGGTCATAATTTTAATCTTATGGAAGGTCTGTACATACGCTACAGTTCAAAAGTTTGTGGCAACCTCTGGTAGTTTTTTTCAATTGACCCAAAAAGGAGTTGTTTTGTAGTAAATTTAATGTTTGTAATCCCTGAGACAGTACCGCTCAATTGTAGCGAACCGAAAGTTTTACAGGTGCAAGACATCAATGATGTGCCCCGTTATCTCAATGTTTAGGCACCATTCTGTCTGCTTACGAGTAAACTCGCTCATTCTGCAAGTCTGTGTCCATTTACTAAGTTTTGTTTGTTCATGTTCTCTCATTTTCATTTGCCTAATATATTTCCATGGGTTGCTGATGACCTTGATAATTAGTGCGTGCAGTAAGAGAAGGTTAAAATAGAAAAGGTTAAAAAAAATGTGAGACATGATTTTTTTATAAATTTTATTATTACTAAGGAAATAATTATTTATTAAGGAAGCATTTTTTTTTATTAATTTTTGATTTCGTCAAAATATCCTCCTTTGGCATTAATTACTGTAGCACAAATCTTTTACTTTCTTTGCAAAAGTTTCTCAAATTATAAGTTTGATAATTTATTCCATACTTTTTTTCAGTGACTCTAACAACACTTTTTCATTTTTTTGCTCTTCTGTCAAGTTCATCTCATGCTAATTCTGGGGTTGACTTCAAACTTTTGAACTGTAGTGTATGTAAAACCTTTCATATAGGTAGTAGCGTATATGCAAGCGTAAGCTTGTAACTTGGGAACTCACACTTCACGCGCATAAGCATGGGAAAGAGTAGAAGTACGTATATGTTTAGATAGATAGATAGATAGATAGATAGATAGATAGATAGATAGATAGATAGATAGATGTTGGTTGGCTACTTGCTAGACGAGTATGACCATTGCTGACGAGTTTTCCATCAAACCGGCTTTGGGAATTCAGAGTTATCCTTCTCGTGAAGAGCACAATACTATTTGACGCATACTATTTAATCCATAGTAAAGATGGATTCATACATTTCCCAAGCGTATTTACCTGAAAGTAAATGTAACGAACGACTGGGATCCGAACTCGACTCGTCGATTTCTCGTTCCGAGCCGTTAACCATTGCCCACGTATCCAACAACAACAGATATAAAGACATATACATACATAGGTAGAAAGATAAAGATAAATAAATATGAACAGACTGAGATAGATAGATAGATAGATAGATAGATAGATAGATAGATAGATAGATATGAATAAATGAATAGATGGACAGACAGATAGATGTGTATAAATGAATAGATAGATAGATAGATAGATAGATAGATAGATAGATAGATAGATAGATAGATAGATATGATAAATGAATGAATAGATAGATAGATAGATAGATAGATAGATAGATAGATAGATAGATAGATAGATAGAATATTTAGAGACGGATACACACATACACACAGAGATAGATATAAATAGATAGCTACATGCATACATACATACAGATGATGTATTTATGCAAACAGATATTGAACAGAATGAGATAGATAGATAGATAGATAGATAGATAGATAGATAGATAGATAGATAAAAATTAATGAATAGATAGATAGATAGACAGAAAGAGAGAGAGAGAGAGATTAAGAGACTGATACACCCATGCCCACATAGATAGATAGATAGATAGAAGATTTAGAGACGGATACACACATACACACAGAGATAGATATAGATAGATAGATGCATGCATACATACATACAGATGATGTATTTATGCAAACAGATATTGAACAGAATGAGATAGATAGATAGATAGATAGATAGATAGATAGATAGATAGATTTATCTCAGAGTAATGGCCGAAAGAACTTCACTATTCATTCTCGTTGAATAACATATCAGCGCCAATTTTTTTTCCCGAGGACATAATTTATAAACATTCTTGTCTACACCACCCACTCTTTAAATTTACACCGAATGCCTCCTAAATAATTCGAGTAACTGAATCGATCTTACGGTTCTGCTAGCAAAGATCGTCTGGGAGACCCTGTAGGTTAATAGTCGAGGGCAACTCTTCAAGTGGCCTATGTTGGGTTATGTCCATATCTGACCTTGTTACGGGTTCCAATCTTCTGCTTCAAGACCAACGTATGTCAAAATGGACACAGAATTTCGTCCATTTGATTGGATAAAGAATTGATATGGAATCTTCCGAAATGATACAATACAAATGGTAATGTAACCGAAAAAGAATTGGTAGACAATAAGGAATGTAAAAGCGTAAAAAAAAGGAAATTGAACAAAACTGGTAAAAGTAATAGATGGTTCGCTAGATAGTTATTTATCTACATAAAGCATACGTATAAAGTATATACACATACATACATATGAAATAAATACATATGAAATATACATACATGCATAAATTACATATGTATCATAATGACATATAAACTGTATGTAATACATACATACTGAAACGAGTGGTAAGGATCCGAAAATAACTGAACGCTAGATATGAGGGGTGCTGAAAAGTTTCCAGCTCCTCCTAGGTGGGATTCCAAAAAAAATCTGATGTTTGATCCTTTGGTCATATTTGGGGCAGTGGATCGAACAGTGTGCATTCCAGCATAGATAGATAGATAGATAGATAGATAGATAGATAGATAGATAGATAGATGGGATTAGCTAATATTGCTCTGAATAAAAGGATCTTCTTGAACCTTAATCCGCCTTTACTTAACCATTGTTTGACTGTAGCTGTTTCATAGAATACAATTCTGATCTATCGATCTATAAGCATTAGTTTATGGAAATAATGAAAAGGAAAATCAGATTGGTTGATTAATTTCATTATATATCAAACGCTCTTGCGTTATCTAAAATTGAATATTCGTTTTACAAGACAATAATCAGACTTCATTAACCCTAGAACACTATCGATCAATTAAAATTACACCACTACTAACCATGGGTATATCAAAAAAAAATATTAAATATAAATCTTTATTTGAAATATTTTACATGCAAGCACTTCAAACTTTGTACTTTGAGTTAATATTAATAGGAACTGAAAACATATTTAAGTAAGAAAATCAGGTACTGAAAATTGTAATTAAAAATAAGAAAATTTACGCTGGGTACTATATATCCATAGTTAGTGTTCTAGGGTTAATAGAAAGCTATTGGACCTGTATCCCATGTAGTTTAAATTCGAGGGACTGGCCTAAATTCCTTAGTAGGCACTAATCTTGAGTAACAAAGTGTAGATGTTGTATTTGTCGTATTGTCTGGTCATTTGTAGACTAAATTTCTTTTCTCGCCCCCACCCCGTCTTTCGTACACTGCATATTTATATTTTCTCAAATCTCGTGGTCGCCGTGATTTTGCGTTAATTTGTCAGCAAAAAATCAATATGCCTTCCCCACGAGATTCTTTTTACGTACGGATGTCCATGAAGTAAGTTTCTTTTTTTTTTTCAAACTACATCCGAAACCCTGTCGAAGTTCCGAGATTCACCGATCTTATATAGCAATTATCGTCAGTATGTAAAGAAACCTAAAGAAACGAAAGCCATATTGATTGTCTGAAAAAAAAGGCCCTGCAATGTGAGATGCGTAATGAATTCAACATTGATTAGGGCGTCTAGGAGTTTCCCAAAAAAGGGATAGAAGACTAATAGGCCGACAGTTGGAAGGGTTAGACATTACCTGGATTCTTAAAAACCGGAACAACCGAAAAGAAAGCAAAAGGCAACGAGGCAATTATAGTTTAGAGAGAACAGGAGCCAGTTTGAGAGCACACTTCTTAATGACTAGGGATACCATATGCTGTGTGTGAATCCAGATTAGAGATGATAGCAGAAACCATAGAAGGGAATATATGCATATCACTCAACAGAGACTCAGTTCTAAGTGGGAAATTAGGCAATGATACTCTTGATGAGTCAAGAGTAGAGTTTAAGGAGAATATACGGCTGAAACATTTAGCTTTATTAGCGGAAGATGTTAACACTTCAAATCGATTGAAGAGAAGAAGAATAGAATAGTTATTCTTATTTCATGCACTATTACAGAGCCGCCAGTATTCACGAGAGCCAAAGGTTGTTAGGTGCAGTACGGTGTTTCATTCTCTCAGTAAACAAAGACTTAGCTTCTTCGAGGACACGTTTACATTTATTACGAATAGGTGCCTGTTATGATGAGAAATGTCAAAGAAAATGTTAAAGTCTATTTCAGAAGCTATAAAAGAAAAAAAAAGAGTCAACTTTCGATGAAAGTTGTGGGCGACAAATTATTTCCCAACCTGCAATCCCTTTCTCACAGAAAGAAACGAGCCTCTTGCTGCTTTATTTCCATGAAAAGTATTCAGGCAAACTACATTCCTTAGTTTCACCAGTTCTTACCTTCACGTCTAAGACCCGCCATGCCACGCACATTGTATCGACCCTTAGTATTCCTTAGAGGAAATGTAGGTTCCACTTGAGCCTAGTCATTTCACGAATCGCGGCGTTGTGGAACCGACGCCCAGGAGGATACTTCCCTGAGCACTACAATCTTTACCTTTTCAAGTTCAGGGTTAACGCTTATCTTCCCCATATATCCGCATAAACTATACCTATTACTCTGTAACCCTCTACCTCGAGTGGCTCCCAGACTTTGTACAGGGTAAACACCATTGTAAAAAAGGACAAGAAAAATGTTGGGCTGAAAGCTATTGGGACACTTCTCAACTATAAGAAAACTTTCAAATGATGGGAACCTCCCTATTTTAAAAATTGAAAATTCAATGAAGAACTTCTAAACTTAATTCAGTTGATTCAGTAGAATCAAATGTTACTTTATTATCTGTTAATATAAGAACGGGCTCTGAATGAGTACAACGAATGACCACGGCCATTGGTATTGGCACTAAATGAGTACAGCGAATGATTATGGCCATTGGTATTGGCATTTAATTAGTACAGCGAATGATCATGGCCATTGGTATTGGCACTAAATGAGTACAGCGAATGATCATGGCCATTGGTATTGGCATTTAATGAGTACAGCGAATGATCATGGCCATTGGTATTGGCACTAAATGAGTACAGCGAATGATCATGGCCATTGGTATTGGCACTAAATGAGTACAGCGAATGATTATGGCCATTGGTATTGGCATTTAATTAGTACAGCGAATGATCATGGCCATTGGTATTGGCACTAAATGAGTACAGCGAATGATCATGGCCATTGGTATTGGCACTTTAATGAGTACAGCGAATGATTATGGCCATTGGTATTGGCATTTAATTAGTACAGCGAATGATCATGGCCATTGGTATTGGCACTAAATGAGTACAGCGAATGATCATGGCCATTGGTATTGGCATTTAATGAGTACAGCGAATGATCATGGCCATTGGTATTGGCACTAAATGAGTACAGCGAATGATCATGGCCATTGGTATTGGCACTAAATGAGTACAGCGAATGATCATGGCCATTGGTATTGGCATTTAATGAGTACAGCGAATGATCATGGCCATTGGTATTGGCACTAAATGAGTACAGCGAATGATCATGGCCATTGGTATTGGCACTAAATGAGTACAGCGAATGATTATGGCCATTGGTATTGGCATTTAATGAGTACAGCGAATGATCATGGCCATTGGTATTGGCACTAAATGAGTACAGCGAATGATCATGGCCATTGGTATTGACACTAAATGAGTACAACAAATGATCACAGTCATTGGTATTGCATGAATGAGTACAAAGAATAATCACAGCTATTGGTATGAGCACTGAATGAATAAAACGAATGATCACGGCCCTTGGTATGGGCACTGAATAAGTACAACGAATGATTACAACCATTAGTACTGGTACTGAATGATTACAAATAATGAGTTTTCATATTCTTGAAACAGATATGTGAATGGTTTTGAAATGATAGAAAACATTCTTCAATTCTTCAATCACCAAATAACAACTTTTTATTTTCTTCTCTTACTAAACACAAGTCTTCAAAGTTTTCCAATCGAGAAAAAAAAAACAATTGCCAATATTTTTAAGTAATTTATAAGCCTGTTTCGAAAGGAAAAAGTAGTAAATTTCTAAAATAAATAAATAAATATTGTCTCTTTTTCGTTTTTTAATTTTTTGTTTTATTTTCATTGATTTATTTTTGTTGGTTTGTAGCTCAAAAAGCCCAATGAAGTAAACAGACCCATTTTATTTTCCTACAGAATACTTTTTACAAATATTAGCTTCAAATATAAATACACAACATGTAATATAATATTAGCCCATGAGTGACTTAAGAATGATATCATATTCAAAAATTCTACTAATCTTTTCACAAAGCGTATACGTGAGTGGGGCGCACGCAAAGATTGTAGCCAACCTGCGGCTGTCTTTAAAAAGGGAAGTAAACAAAATTATCGAAATGGAATTATCGAAATACAATTATAAAAAGAAACTGAGATAAGGGCGGACATATTGTTTGCCGGTATTTCTTCAAGTTTCACAGACAAGCCATTGTGAAAAGGCGAGAAAATCAATGATGCATCATAGGATTGAAAACAGGATTGTTACTATTGGCAGAGAATAAGTAAAATTTGCTATGTGTAAAGAAGAAAAAACGATAGAGGCATCTTATCATCATATTAGCTGGAATTGTATGGTGATTAAAAGTCAATATATATATATATATAAAACTGTGTATTTGGGCAGCAATCCTTCTTTTATACAAGTTTCATTAAAGACGACTGACAAGATGCTGCGTTTAAGCTTTTTATTTAATTTTTCTTGTGTTCTTATTATATAACTTTTATTGTGTTTATATATATATATATATATATATGTGTGTGTGTGTGTGTGTGTGTGTGTGTGTGTGTGTGTGTGTGTGTGTGTTTTATAATTCTAATAGATATGTGTATGTATATGCATTTATATGTGGGTTCAAATCAATAAAACATTTCACGCACATGTCTACACATATGAATACACGACTGGCAAATGTCTCTGTTTTTCTCTCCCTCTCTATACACACACACACACACATATATATATATATATATATATATATATATATATATATATATATATATAACCATCGACACTTCGACACTTTTTGAAGGGCCGAATACAGAGATCTGGTGCACTACGTGCCACAAGGCCCCCAAACGACCCTCCGCAGGTTCAGAATTCAGAGTTGTCCTCCAAGACCAGTTGCCATCCAAGGCTATAGAACCCAGTCTGTCCTGCTATTTACCTATAGCTCGAGGGAGAAGTGGAGTCATACCATTCCCAAGGGTATTAGCACGTAAGTGAATGTAATGGATTCGACTGGAATTCGAACTCGGCTCTTTGATTCCTCCATCCAACCCGCTCTCCATTACTCCACTGTGCCTATATATATATGTATATATCACGTGTGGCCACTTCGATGTGGTGTAATGGGACTGAGTAGTAAATTCGATCCTCACTAGGTGCCTCACATTTTCGGTCTTGTGCGACACCTAAGCTACGCTTAGAAAATCATTTGGGGCACCTAAGCATGGTGTAAGGGTTACCAAGCTTGTCTCGCTAAAAGAGTTACGACTGAATAGTGAGTTCGTTTCTCACTCGGTGCCCCATACTTTCGGCCTTGTGCCACATCTAAGCTACTTTTAGAAAACCAATATATATGTATTACGGTCCCCACTTATACTTTTCAAAGCAGTCTACAATGTCCTATTTCGAACTCTTTTAATGGCGATTTTGATTTTAATTTATACATATTTATACTTAAGTTTCCATGGAATTTTTAACGTTGTCGGGAGTTAGAAATCATATTACTGCTTACAAACAATCGGCTACATAAGCTCTTTTACGACGTAGGGCCTTAATCTTCTTCGAAAGACTCTGTTTGAAACCTCATTTCAACCCAACTTATCCACATATGTGTCTAGAAAACGTTATAACTTAATATATATATATATCTGTTAGTGATTAGTTAACATAAAATTGATAGGGAAAGTCTAACACAAAAGAAACTTGGCTGAGACAAAATTTAATGTGTTGGCGATCCTCACTTTCCAACCTCGATAAAATTCAAAATCGTTGACCCGGTTTTGTTGGTTTGTTTGGTTTTTCTAACGGGTCATTTAATGCCAAATTTAATTCTCTTGAGAGCTTTGAAGTAGTAAATATATAATATGTGATATTCTGCTTTCACATGGTAGATGATACTTAGCTTTTGTACATATACATTTTTGTGTGGATATAATTACTAGAGACGGTTATATGTTTATTTCATTTTGTAGTTTTTGTGGAGCTTATATTTTGGAAGACAGTTTGATTTCTTTAAGAAATTGTAGGATATTATATGGATTAATGTCATGAAAAAGCTCTTTCATGTTGATTGTTTGATTGATTTCGTTTAGCGGTATATCTAAGAGTTAATTAATGCTAAATATTTTGAACACAACTTTATGGCTTCAACTTAATATATTTTTGAATGCAACAGCATGCCTTCAACTACAAATAAAATGTATTGTTGTTCATTCTACTATAAAATGTATTGCGGGTCATTTTGCTACGAATATGCATTGTTGGTAATTTTACTATAAAAATGTATTTTTACACTTTCATCGTGTTTTTTTTTTTTTTTTTTTTTTTGGGGGTTCACTGTTTGGCCATAGCTGAGACCCTAACAGGTGTTACCACCCCTTGTCAAAGTGAACCTGAGAACAACAGCAATTAAGAGGTGGTTCCACGCTCCTCAAAACCTCCTATGTCCTGATCAGATCCTTTGCTGCCGGATGTAGTTTATCGTCATACCCAGGACGGACACGGTTTCGTGGAAGAAGATATTTTTTCATTCTGTAACCTGTTCCCCACAGATACATTGGTGCACACCTGTCGCTACTATATCGCTATTTCCATGGCAAATGTTCAGATGAGCTCCATCCTTTAGTTCCACCAGTACAGACCTTAACATCTAGGACAAACCATGCTACTTCAGCGGATTCGAATCACCCTAATTTCCTCCGTGTTCCAAATATAAGAAGAAAGTTCCACTCAAACAGCTTTACCCAAGAACTGATACTTTGTGGGTGCTTCCCAGAACACAACAATCTTAACCTCTTCAAGTTGAGGTTCAATCGTTATCTACCCTCTTTATCCTCATAATCTTCGCTTCTTATCATCTTTTTTTTAATTCATATCACACACCTCATTTATCATCATCATTTTAACAGTAATCGTCTACATTGAGTGGCTCTCAAGCCTTGTATTGGGTGAATTCTATTATTTGCTAAATTACATCAAGGCTAATCAACCGATTCTCGGAATATTCAAAATATACTGTATACTCTCCAGTCAGTTTCCCTGCCTATATGCCTGTATAAATTAAGGACATTGCTTACCCTGCGTTATCATTGATATAGTTACATATCTCCAACCGGTACCAGAGCCCACTGTTCAAACTTAGATTACCATCGCTATTTCCAATACTGATTTTCTATGTGAATGGGGCTTTTCAACTCAAGCAGTTGACGTAACACAATCTTCCTACACCCCCTTTGCTCCATGGGATTTATTAAGCAAAGCTTAGTAAATGTCAAGACAACAGTATTTATTGTTTTGCATTGCAAATTACTAAACACGGAAAACTTGACATTATGAAATAACGTTTACACTCCTATTGACTCCAAGGGCTATCCATTAAAAACCGGATCATGACGAGAGAATAAAACAAAATAATACTAAAATCGAGGAAGCCACTGCTAAAGAAAGTTAAAAAAAAATGTAGCAAAGAAAAGGAAACTCATAAAGCCAATGCTTGGATGGCGAAGGATGAGTGATGAACAGTGCATACGATAGCAGATATATAGGTCTAATGAGATTTGTCCTGGCCAAATATTTCTTTCTTGCTTCGTCCCTACCGACTACCTACCATCTCTTGAAGTCTATTTTCTGATTTCGTACGATAAATGTTCTTCAAACAGTTGCTATTGTAACTTAAGCGAAAAAGCACATCTAATATATTCGTAACAGTACTTCTTCATCTTTTGTGGGCCGTTTCTTTTCACGGTGTGGACGATCATATCTCTACCACAACTTCCTGTTCTTTGTAGCTTTATCCGCGCCTCTATTCACTCAAACTTATAACGCAGGAAACTCCCATTATCTTTCTGCTAATCCTGCTTCCAGTATGTCCTGTGAGCATTAAGTATTCCAAACCCTCATTTCTCATAATGCAGTTATTTTAAGGCGTTAACTCAAATGCTTTTGATAGAAATTCAAACCACGACCCAGGTAAACTAAATAGAATTTAGTTTATTTTCATCTGCCGTATGACGAATTTGAGATTGGGAAAATATTTCTTTAGATTTTCTTCTTCGTGGTGGCTCTGTGGGCATTTCCGCGTACGCCAATTTATCAAAGGTATACTTCGTGAGAGATGTGAAAGACTTGGGAATGGAATTGCAAACAATATTACACATAGCGCAACAACATTTTATTGCTTTAGCAAAATTTATTAAGAAGGATATAAGAGGTGAATGAAAGTGTGTATATAAAAATATCCATATTCGTTCGTACAGCGTGTGTATCCTATTAAATATGTTAAGAGACGCACATAGAAGAAGAGTTTTGTTGGTTTGTTAAGAGTTAACACCTTGGGATATTTATCTACTGCGTTGTTTTCATGCGACATGTGGACCGCTTGTGGGA